AACAAAAGAAAAAACAGTTAAGAGTTCATCCAAGGAGAAGAAAAGGGGGGAGGAGGAATATGTCGCTACAGTGGTTGCTCTTTCTCTATCAGTCGGTACAAAATGAAAGCATTAATACATTATCTATTAACCAGTAACTATTTGAAATGTTTGCTTTACACATCTCAAATATGATCAACATAGATATGCACGTCTTGTATAAATATAAAAGAACTTGCTTGACCTAATAATGCTAGTAATTTTTAAAGTAAATCATCAAGATTATGATAGGTAAATACAGTCTATGTTCATAGGTTAATAAAATACAGTGGTACAATCTATGGTTTGTTTGAGCCCCAATTTTTGGAAGAATAGATTTTGTAATAGTAATTATTTGGAAACTGTGGTTGAAAAAAATGGACTTAATTGTAAAATTATTTTATTGAGAGAATATGTGGTTGAAAATGAGTTCGAAAAAAATGAGGCTCAAATAGAGGCTATGTTGCCTGGACGTAAGTATGCGTGTTAGATACATTTAGGAGTCGGATCTTTTTTCTTCTAGACTTAAGATATGGGAATATTGCTAAAAATGATCCAAACTTTGGATACTAGTAAGTGGGTACGTCTTGCAAATATAGTTCCTGTTCGGTAAGGATTTTTAATCTAAATCCAAGTCAACAACTAATTTTAACCACATATTTCATAGGACCCACAATTCTTCAATCAATCATTTCATCAACTTTTATCAAGATCTACTAAAAATTTGATTTTAATCCTCACCAAAAACGGCATAAATTGTTCTAGAAAATTACATACCGATAATCTTAGATCTATTTTTAAGGAGTTAATCATTAAATGAGCTTGGTTTCATGCCCTCAAAGTCTTGATTTTATACGCTCACTCTTTATCTCCCTGCAATTTCAGCTACTCCCATGGTGATCTCCCTTCCATGTTTCTAATGTGTCTACTTTCAAATTCAAAGATCTAACATAAGATCCATACCCATACACATGACATGTCATGTCAACAAGGATACATCGTCCAAACTAAAAGAGTCTGAGCATCATAGGGTACAATACAACAAGAAAGTGACAAACTTCAAATACGTAAGGATTTTGGCCTAGATCTCAAAAACTTCGGCACTTCCACGCTTATACTCGTCGAACATCACAAGTGATGGAGTAACATAAAGTGACCTTCCCTGCATTAACTATTCTCTTCTGATTCAAGAAAACAAACGTATACTATATTCCTATGCTGGCATTGACAGGACATTTCATTAAATTTTGACCTTCACAAGCAAAAATTATATAAGTTCAGTAAACTGGATAGGTGGATTCAACAATTAATTAGAAGCTACCTTTTAGTAGGACGAGACTTAATCTCCGACTCTTTCTCCAGTCCAATTTTATCATTCAAGCCCAACTTCAAGTCGGGCATTCCAGAAAGGAAGCATTTCATGAGAATCTTCCCAGTTACATCACAACGTAGAACACTACCTAAAATTGTCAAATGGGAAACAAGAAAACAAGAGTGAAACTGTCGAATATAAAAGGAGAAACACGAGTAGAATTGCATCAACTAAATTGTGCGCAAACATTATATTTTACCTTTAGAAGACATAAGAAGATTAACACTTTCGATGATATCAAGAAATACCTGTCAAGAGTTATAACTTAATTCGGTATAAATTGAAATACTTGTAGCATGCAACGGTAATAGGAGTAAGGTGGTGAGAGGCTACCTCATTCTTCTTATAGACAAGACCTTCCCTCCGCCAACCAACAGCACCAGTTACTTGCAAAGTAGCATTCGGAACTGGTTTCTCTGCAGGCTTTTTTTTTGGCAAGGTAAAAGAAGTCAGGATAGTTGATGGACCACAGTGGGAAAAGGACAAAAAAAAAAAAA